GAGATCTTGTGATTTGGGTGTTATGTCTATGTTGATACACCCCAAGATCGCATTAACCTTAATGTCGCCACATTCACAGTGGCTGCTCATATTTACACATACCCCAAGATCACAGTCCGTAGAGATCTGAGATTCCACGACTTCCCTTTTGTTTACCAAGGAGTGATGATCTTAGTTTTTTTGATTTTTTCTACGAAACGACCCCTGGGTAGGAGACAGCAACCTTGGGGAGGCCCTATGTGGACGCCTGCTGCCTCAGCCAAAAGCCTGGCAGAACAGCTCCGTCTTGCAGGGCCTGCGGAATTGAGTAAGATCCCGCAGGGCCCTGATCTCCACCAGGTTGAGGCTAAACGGACGTCTTTTGGGCCAGGGACCACCAGGAGATGTTGACTACTAGAGCGTAAAGCTCTTTGAGGCGTATACGGGAAGAAGAAGTCCCTTAGATATGTTGGTCCCAGGCCGTATAAGGCTTTGAAGGTTGGGTTTACTCCATGAAAATTTAATCTGAAATAAAATGTGGTTAGTCTTTAAGATGCCTGTAGACTCTTTTTTGTGTTTTGCTGCAGCAGACTAACATGGCTGTTCAGAATTACTGCATTTTACCCTTTACTTCCTGCATTTCATGGGCCTCTCGATCTTTATGGTTGTGGTATTTTTTTCAAATACCCCTGCATAAAATAATAGCATCATAAGAGTCCACTCATCACATCTAAAGAAATTTTTTTTTTTAACCAAAATATTTTATTGGGTTACAGTAACAAGCATAAGTACAACAAACAGGTCCCCAAGAAACAATGAATGATTTCATAAGTGGTTACATAATATATACCGGTTTTCAAGTTGTCTTAAGCAGCATAGTTCATATAAGAGCTGGTAATTGCTATCTAACCCAGCAATAACAGTTTGTATTTAGCATCATTTATAGCTTCCCAGTTAAAGGATTCAAAGGTTATTTTCTCAATAATAGGATACCATTTTCCAGTAGGATTAAGCAATTCACTTTCATTTTGATCAGCTGTATTAAATATTGAAACAGTTTCAAGTAAGAAATATTCCCAAACTTTAGATAGCCATAGGGTAACCGTAGGAGGGTGATCCTCTTTCCATTTCTTGGCGATAACATTCTTTGCAGCCGTTAAGAGCAAACATATCAGCTTTCTCTGTTTATTGGGAATGACACTCTCGGGCCAAAGATTTAACAGCATAAGTCGAGGATCTAGGGGGATGTCACAACCAGTAAGCTTCAGAATCTGAGATTGTACTTCTGACCAGAACTTAGCAATATATCTACAGGACCACCATGTATGGTAATAAGTCGCTTTCTCCCCACAGCGCTTCCAGCATAGTGGAGAGAAAGACGCAGACATATGTGAGAGCTTAGCTGGGGTTAAATACCAACGCGAAAGCACTTTAAAAGAGGATTCGAGAATCTCCGATGATCTGGATAAAGTACAGTGTGATTTCCATATTGAGGACCATTGATCATTGGTTATCTGTATGTTTAGATCAGCATCCCATGCTTTTTGATAACTGAGTTGGTTGTTGGCGCTGGCAGCTGATAGAATTTTATATATTTTAGAGATTAAACCTCGTTTCTTGAAGCTATCCAACATAATTTTTTCAAAGTCAGTTAGGGGAGCTTTGATAGCATTGGAGAAATCTGAATCTTCCAGCCATTGGCGTAGTTGAAAATATTCAAACCAATGACAGGAGATCTTATACTTGTTTTCAATGTCAAGCTTTGTCATTATTTTGTTTCTATTGATTACATCTATAATCCTGGTGACTCCTTTTTCCCTCCAGGTGAGGAACGATTGAGGTTTGAAGGCTGGTGAAAAGGCCTTCTGACCAATGATTTCTTAAGTCCAAACCACAGTTTTAGAGTGTGGGATAAGAATGGGTTACTAGTATTTTTAATTGTTTTTATTGTATGTGGTGTCCATAAAAGTTCTTTAAGAACTATTTCCGTTTCCACATTTTCCTCTAACCAGATCCAATCTAATTCTTCAGAAT